ATGCACGCACAACAGGAATTTAGAAGAATATTTGTAAGAAAAAGCAGAATCCTACAAAAATGGATTTTGCATAAAATACTTCAAAGTGTAGTGGGTTTTTTGTAACCCACTGATCTGAATCCGGTTTGATCGAACGATGATGTCAGCAGAATGTACATGCTGGCTACCCTAGTATACAGTTATCAACTTAGTTCACTTTAGAGAATAACGGGTTAAAATTGTTAAATATGAACATGAATTTCGAACACGTATATTTCATACACTCATCTCAAAAAGACGACATGAAAAAGAAAGCAGACCTGACGGAAAACTCCGGCTGAGCATTTAATAGCTAGCCATAAACGTTTCGCATTATAAATGATGTCAACTGATGACAAAAGCCCAATAGATCTGACAAGCATACTCACCCATCTCCCTTTCGAACCAGCTACCTATGATTCATGTCACATTAATTACCACGGTAATCATTTCAGCATAACCACAAACTACTTCTCATCTCCCTTATGATCGTCTCATTTCCCCTCTTACTATTTTAATTCCGTCTTCTTACACACTATGATCCACGTAATTAATTTATTTGTTTTTAAATCAACCATCTCCCCTTAGCGCATGGATTATCGCTTTATTATTTTCAGACTGCAACCAGCCAACGTCCTGAGTTACAATGCGATGGCCGATGGTATCCAGAAGACCTAATTCCCTGAGAAAAACGTAATGACTTACACTAAAATCCACGAATAACTACCGGACTGACAACAACTAGTTTCGTCTACTTGCTGGACCACCACCGATTGAATATAACCAAATGCATGGAGCCGTGCCGAAAAAAACAAGTAGCGAGGGCGTGTAATTAGGTGGTTTATACAAGCTTTCGAAAAAATGTTTTATTGTATTAGATGAGAAGGTAGTCAGTTTAGGATGCCGGCTTGTCAGCGGTATGTTTAACTTTATCGTTGGAGGTCGTTAGTCTGTGCGTCTAACCAATTTAAATTGCCATGCTGGCACTTATAGGCAGCGCTCCAGGGGTATCGCGACACATTTTTGCGCTACGTTTTCATTTCTGCTTTGTGCACAACCAAATTTCGAAATTAAATATGAATAAATTTGAAAGTCTACTTTCCGTTTTCATAATTAGGTGAAAAGGGGTTTTTCATTTTGCGCTACGTGGTATCGCGAAGTCCTTGAAAATTCATTATTCAGGTGCTGCTATAATAGTTTTTTCGTGTTTGCATCGCAGACTAGCTATTATTTTTACTTAAGTATACACTGATGGTAGACAAATCTTTTATATTTATATGAAATAGCATGATTCTGGCATATATCGTCATAAAAATTGTATTGTCGTCAAGGCTACCAAATCTGCGTCACAACTAACAATACCATGGTAAGATTTATCGTTTTTCCCGTCTTTAACACAATTTCTGCTGATTTTCACTGTTTTGTTCGACTTTTATGGCAGAAATAGCTTTATAGGTAAAATATTAGGTGTCCTGAGTGTTGTAAACATTATATATATATATACTATAGACGACAACAACCCATACCAAGATGTTAATATCACCTCCTACAGTTAGATATGTTAGCCACCAAATTATTATATTGCACGAAATAAATCGTAATCATGCGGAAGAGGTATAATTATGTGAAGATTTTACCAGAGACTAAGCTAAGATAGCATTACTACCTCTTGTGTAGAGCTACAATGTTTTGGCTGCCGGTATTATTACAAAAATACCTAATAGCAGAAATAAGTACTGATATAAAGCTGTCACGAGAAAGCACTGAAAAGTACGATTCGATAGTCAAGATATCTTGATCCAAGGTGATCAGATTGTGTGAGATCGTATGTGATGATCTTCGGAAATCAACCAAGGCCTGTCTGCCGTAAATAACAATTACTCATAACTTACGTGGGACTAAAATAGAATATGCATCAAGAATTGCAGGTTACACAAAGAAAAATTCACACAGTAGTTTTTATATATGTTCATCGTTTAAGTTTCCGAAGTGCAACCTGTCCAAAGAATTAATTAATACAATCCGTGTATGTTGTGACCCAGACTTTCCTAAGCAACGCAAGAGATAAAGGAAATAAGCGTGATTGACTACCCGAAGGAAGGGTGTGCTAAATGCACTTCCGATCTGTAATTGAATACTGGTTTGCGTTTTTATACTAGTTTCTGGTAAACATTTATACTGAAATAACTTTCCTGTCTATCTTATTTCCAGCTAGCTTCGCAAGTGTTCACAGACATAACGGGAACAATTCCTAAGAAATTGAAGTTATTTATTAATGGATTATTTGTGTTAGATTCAAACTTTAATAAACGTTTTCATTTCTAACGCACCAGTCTTTTAATTACGGCAATTCTTATCTATCGTGACATGTCGAAATTCGAACTACTAGTATGGTACATCATGTTCAAGGTAGCAGTATTTGGTAAACGGTATTTATGACTAATTGCGTGTGCGCCAAACTGGTAATTATTACACAAGAACGCGAAACAACATCCCTGTCTCACAGCCACATAAGACTGCACAGTACACTCCCTGCAGTTACACTATAAAAATAAGTCAATGGCCATATAAATGAATTTATGTAAAACTAAAGAGATTACAATATTAGAACTTCTAGTTATCAAGGAGCATAGCTATGGTCTGTATTAACAATGGATTCTGACGTTGTAGCTTCATCATTAGCACCGATTGAACTCATCACTTGTGCGCATGTGTCTTCCGAAGCTTCGAGACATGAACGGATGAGTTTACTTGCCAGAGGTTCACTAAGAGCATGGATTGAGTGGTTGTTGCTAGTGAACTTCTCTAGCAGATCATCACTCCCTGTAGAGATTGAGATGTTGTCCAGCGCACGAAGAAGCAGGTCCATTATGTATTTTATTGTCCACCGGTTGCTATGTCGAAATAATTCTACAAAACTTATAGAGATAAAGGATCACATATACCTCCACAAATCAGATCTTTAGAATGTGCATACAAAATATGATCACAGGGCAGCATGTAGTCACTGAAACGCTCACAAGCACATCGTGCACGTGAAGTATCAACAACATACATCATACCCTAGTCGTAGCACCGGATGTATTCTCTTTCTATAAATTCGTGTCTCATTGTCCGAACACGTTTATAATTTACAGCTACAATTTTAGCTGCGAAAGACGGAACTCATTTACAAGAGTTCGAAATGACATTGGAACCTAAAATTAATGATACTTCTAACTATATTTCTTACCTGAAGAACTGGAAAACGTTGAAGATCCTTTACAGCGTCTTATGGACGCAAACGTAGGTCAATGTCTGTTTTACTCCAAATTTTCAAGAACGTCAATAGCAGGGAATCACCTCTTCTAAGACATTCTTTTAGGTGCTTATGAGCACTTTCGATACGGTTGTTTGTGTGGTTGCCCAGGCATAATACATGTCGCCGGTAACATCGAGCCCACATTGACTTCCTGGCAATCCAGTAATCTTTTATGTAATCATAAGCCCGTGGGAAATGCGTCCTTAGATGTTCGTACTTTCGAGTAAATCTGAATATAATGCGTTATGAAAAGTGAAGCTCACATATCAGACCGTCTAGTCTTCACAAGGTGCTCCAAGCATTTGCGCACATCAGGATATCGGAACTACAGAAAATAATTTGTACAGCTAACACATGCCTTCCTGAAGAACGCTCTCAGGACATGAAATGAACAAAGTATTATGTTAGAATGACTGTGCGTAGACTGCACAGCTGAAATTTTGGTCGCCGCCGAATCCATAATGAAAGTGCATGTAGCATAAGTACCGCACATTATCTCTTTAAAACATTCCAATAGTTTTTTGACATCTTCGCGTCGTTCTTGACTGCGAAGAGCATACATAACAGTGTGCCCTTGCCCAAGACTATCAGTCACCACTAGCTGAAACAGTAGAAAACTTTCAGATAAATTTATTACTAATCGTTACTTACCCGACTTTATTGGTCTGATAAGTCGAATCAATACAAATTTCATCCGGGAACGCGTGGTAAACAGCTATTTGCTCTCTGCGGCTAAAGCAAATCATAGACATGTTCCCATTTTCATTGAATACTTTAACTTCAGTATTTGCTTGAATGCGCTGTAAAATGTCATGGATATTTTTAGTGTCTAAACTCAATTAATTACAATATGAGTTCAACAACCTCGGTACAACTGTGAACGCATTCTGGCGATATCGTCCTTGGTAAGCTGTTTATTGAACTTCCAAGAAACCAGATACCGTAAGCTACGAGTTGGTGTATTACTCAGTAGAAACGTTCTTAAATACAAGCGTTCACTTGAGGTCAACTGTCGTTTCGATGGATCGACAGAAATATATCCTTCTGTGCAAGGATGGTTGTGCACGGTTTTAATAGAGGTCGGGTTCAACTCACCATTTACTGCTCGGACCCAAAATCCTGATTGACAATGGCAATATTTCGACCTGAAGGATAAATTCATTTGAAGTAAGGCATACGTAGATGACCGACGTCGTCTCCTTTGCCTAGGTTGTGTTGGCGAGTTCGAAGTTGTATGCTCTTCAGAAGAATGATTATTACTATCATCATCTACATCCTGAACGCAAGCATCTGACTCTGACGAACTGCGTTTATGTCCATATGTACAGACATATCTCACGAAAAAGTACTTTCGAGTCGGATCATTACTGACACAACATACTTAGTATGCGTATAGTAAAAAAATAATTATTAACCACAGAGGTCATATTACCTTATGTACTTCTTTCAAACAGGTCTCAAAATTGTCCCAACTTGTAAATCTTCGAGGTAACATAATATCATTGAAGATTCGTCCTATATCATGCATCATCACGATGGCATCGTCTTCGTTACTTGAAGAATGAACGTTAATAGACATAGTGTGGCTGAACTCAATTCAAATCTAAAAACTTCTTGATTTGACCGGTTCTGAAAATTTTCACGAATTGTCGATGTGACGCAACAATCATTTTGCGACAGTTTGACCTTCAAGTGCTCGCAACCCCCATCAGTGGACGATACCCTAGGGGCGTTGCCGCACTTCTAACAGTGCCTGTCTAGTCGTTTTAGTACCGTGGTGAGTTTCATAGATTATTTTTGACATATTTCGAAGTGGCCTTGAAAAACTTCAGCCACTAAATGCTATCACTTAAGTGTCTATAAGGTCGTAATAGGGATGCAAATTGATGCGAGCAATTAGGACCCGAGCTGCCAATTTCGGGGTATTTTTGGGAAACTTCCGATGTCAAATGACCTTGATCAAGGTCAATAAGGAATTTTGGGGAAATATTGGGGAATTTCTCCAGGTCTGGGGAAATTTTGGGGTTTGGGTCTCACTTCCCTAAAATTTACTATAGCGGCTTCCCAAAAATTGGCAGCTCGGGGAGTTATAGTTAAAACTCAGGGTTACGAACCGGAGTTGAGATTTACATCTTGTACCTACATTAGCTATAGTGCCAAAACGGACATTCTATAGCTATACAGTTAAATGATCATTCAACCAAGGAATTCCGATTAGTTGCTAAAATCCAAGACTCGCTATCATAATAGTGAATGGTTCGTATCTAAATTGTGATCTTGCCGCTTGATACTGTCGCCTTATTATCTCTATCTTCATGATACGACTTATATTTTGTGGGGGTTTGCAGTGTTTGTCTTGCACGGCCTCACTATTCTAATTGGCCTAGTCATCTAATCTTTACTCCTACTTAGATGATATATATATATAGCGACTTTCTATCATAACCTGTCAGCAATACATTAACAATCGCATTGGTAGGCTATTAAGAATTTATCAGAAACCGGATTTGAGTTCAGTATCTACCAATTAAGTAGTCATTTTGTATAAAAGGACAGCATGTACTATGCAAAGCACTATTCTATGTAACATTCCTGGAGAATATGGATAACGTTCGCACCACCTTATAAAGAGGGTGAGACTATGATTTATGAACAACCTTTGAGCGATGCTTGAGTAGCCTTAATAATGCTTACTTCCAAAATTAAATGAGGGTTATAAATTAGTCTGAAGAAGTAAAATTACGACTTAGAGTTGAACATTAGGGTTAGGAATTTGAGTTGAGGTTTTCACCACAAGCTTATATCAAATATAATTCCAAAATGCTATTTAGCTATATGGATGAATTTCATTCGAAACGCCAAATCTAGTTTAAATTTGGTTGTAAATAAATAATATATTTGTAATATTTATGTAATATTTGTAATTATTAAATTTGGTTGGTTTGTCCATAAACTATAGTCTCACCTCTTTATATGATATCACACCACTGAAGCCATATAATAACTACATGAGTCTATGGAACAAAATCAAACCAACCTATCGACTCGGCCTGTAAAGTAAAATTATCCTCATTCAAAATCATTGTTAGTTCAACGGTTACTGAAAATATGTGTCAACTGTTAAGTTATCGTCTTCTTTGAGTTGGTTCTGTGAAGCCTGAATTTGTCAGGATTAATGGACTTACTAGTGCTCCGCCTGTAGCTCTCATAGGGTTACTGCCGGTCCCAAGCCCGGGTAAAGGAGGAGGGTTGGGCATGGGGTTAGCGTCCCCATCCCGTAGAAAACTAACTCGCTAAAAAAACGCTTACCAGAAAAAATAATCCAAACCATTTAAACTCTGCCCTGGGAGTTAGAAGGTCTTCATTTAGAAGAATTATGACGCTTCATGGTGAAAGCCGAGTTCCTTCGGAAGCCACGAGGCCGATGCCCCTTCTAACAACCAGAGCAAAATTTTTTATAGGTACATGGAACGTTCGAACAATGTGGGAAACCGGGAAGACCAGTCAAATAGCAATGGAAATGAGGAGATACAACTTAGCAGTACTGGGAATCAGCGAAACCCACTGGACCCAAGCTGGACAGAAAAGGCTAGCTACGGGAGAGATGCTGCTATACTCTGGTCACGAAGAGGACAGTGCTCCACACACTCAGGGAGTCGCTCTTATGCTGTCCAAAGTAGCACGAAATGCACTTGTAGGATGGGAATCTCACGGATCCAGAATCATCAAAGCATCATTCAAGACAAAGGAAGGGATCTTAATGAATATTATCCAATGTTATGCACCCACAAATGATAGCAACGACGACATTACAGATCAATTCTACGAGCGGCTGCAGTCAGTCATTGAGAAATACCCAAGAAAGGACCTAACTATTCTGATGGGAGATCTAAATGCCAAAGTCGGAATAGACAACACTGGATATGATCAACAAGCTGGATTCCGTAAGGATCGATCATGCACAGACCAAATTGCAACACTACGGATCATCGTCGAACAATCAGTTGAGTGGAACTCATCACTATACATCAACTTCATTGATTATGAAAAAGCATTCGACAGTGTAGATAGGAGGACATTATGGAAACTTCTTCGACACTACGGAGTTCCTGAGAAGATTGTCAACATTATCCGGAACTCATACGACGGACTACAATGCAAAGTCGTGCATGGAGGACAGCTGACAGATGCATTCCATGTAAGGACCGGAGTCAGACAAGGCTGTTTACTCTCTCCCTTCCTCTTTCTTCTGGTGGTCGACTGGATTATGAAGACCTCAACATCTGAAGGAAAACACGGAATACAATGGACAGCTCGAAATCAATTAGACGATTTGGACTTCGCAGATGACCTAGCCCTCCTATCACGTACACACGAACAGATGCAGATGAAGACAGCCAGTGTAGCAGCAGTCTCTGCATCAGTAGGCCTCAGTATACACAAAGGGAAAACAAAAGTCCTCAAATTCAAAGCGGAAAACAACAACCCAATCACTCTTGATGGCGAAACTCTGGAAGATGTAGAATCCTTCACATACCTGGGAAGCATCATTGATGAACAAGGAGGTTCAGATGCAGACGTAAAGGCAAGGATTGGCAAAGCAAGGACAGCATTCCTACAGTTAAAGAACATATGGAACTCAAAACAACTTTCAACCAATATCAAAGTGAGAATCTTTAATACCAACGTCAAGGCAGTTCTACTGTATGGAGCTGAAACTTGGAGAACTACAACAACCGCCATCAAGAAGGTACAAGTATTTATAAATAGTTGTCTACGCAAGATACTCAACATCCATTGGCCGGATACCATCAGCAATAGCCTTCTGTGGGAAAGAACAAACCAACTTCCAGCTGAAGAAGAAATTAGGAAAAGACGATGGAAATGGATAGGACATACATTACGCAAATCGTCAAACTGCATCACGAGGCAAGCCCTAACTTGGAATCCTGAAGGGAAGCGAAAAAGAGGAAGGCCAAAGAACACATTGCGTCGGATAATAGAAGCAGATATGAAAACGATGAATTACAACTGGACGGAGCTAGAAAGGAGTGCCCAGGACAGGGTTGGATGGAGAATGCTGGTGAGCGGCCTATGCTCCTTCACGAGGAGTAACAGGCGTAAGTAAGTAAGTAAGTGCTTATGGGGATAAAAGTGAGTCCAATACGTTAGTCATCCTGTTAGTACTATCGCGAAATTCGTTCTAGGTAGTTTTCCATTATTGTTGCTAATGGTATGCGAACAATTAGTTGTAGTTATCATGGAATATATAACTACAATGAACCCAGTTTTATAAAATTTTACCGCGGTATTAAAGAGCTGTATAGTGGTGACTTTGTCGTTTCATCACGACTTCTTGGTTGGGGTCTTCAAAGTGGCGTAGCTCAGTGGCTAAAGACGTTATCAAGTGTGGCTCAGAGTTGAAGTTAGTGGTGGTCCTGCTGTAGTTTTTCTACATCTTTCATGAAAATGAAAAGAGTTCCTTTAACTGAGAATTCTACTTGGTTATAATTTTGTCATAACTATCTTCTATTATAATCCATTCTCGTTTACTTTTTTGATCATTTGTTTATCCATCCGTTGGCTCATCCGTTCTAGTGACCAATCTTTTTGGACGCTTCACTACACTCGACTAGTTCCCAGATCAAAAATGAAAAGAAACGTAAATATATTCCACAGTAAACAGTAAGTGGTCAATATAATTAGAAAATATATTCATATATATTGGTATACCCGACCGTTGTTGCTACCTTGACGTGGTGGTCGGGCTTGCCTATCATGATGAAGCAACCGAGCTATACTGACTGGAACAACCGTTCCTCAAGGTCCTGCCATGTCAGACAGGTCGGTTGAAGAGCGGTAAGACTAAAAGCAACAAACCCAAGGTCCGAAGGCGAAGTCGTACTGCTGACTGTACAGAGGTGTGACAGCAATAAGGTGTTTTTTTCAGACAACCAGGGTGACAGCGATGCTGCCTTCTCACAAGGAGGGGTGGGGTTAGGGAAGGTCGACCCTAAAAACGCACACCTCGCCTTATCCTACCGATATCCGTCTCCGGCGGTAAGGTCTCAACAAGTACGGATCAAACACAAAACTTACCCATAAAAAGGTCGTGTGTGACCGACCTCAAACAGTTGTCCCTTGGGCACTGCGGTCATTTCAGGTACCTCCAGAAAAAACCTTCCACGGTGTGGGCAACCGGGAAGTGATAACCGCCTAATAACTCTAACAGCACTCAAGACCACTGTATTCATAATCAGCCTCCCTCTTCAATCCCTATTATTCATCCTACATCGACTTTCACCTCTAAACTTCCTCTTTCGGCTTCCCCTTCAAGTGTTACCATAGCCAACGATTCTAGTGCTCAAAACACTGTCCCAAGTCTACTGAAACCTCGCTCCAAACTACACATTGGAGCCTTCAACGTACACACCCTATGTCAAATCGGTCACCAGGCTTCCTTGGTTAGAACTCTAGAATATCGTACCATTGATGTATGCTGTGTCTCTGAAACACGCATTCAGGATCCCAGTGTGGTCATTCACTTGACCTCACCTCGACAAAACGGAGAGCCAACGAGATACCCTCCGTGTATCTGGTGACCCGACGGCCAGCTCTCGTGGACTGGCAGGAGTAGGGATAGCGCTAAGCATAAGGGCGGAACAAGCATTGTTAGAGTGGATCCCCGTTAAAAGTCGTTTATGTGCTGTCCGGCTAAACGGCTCAGTAAGAACTCGGACGGATAGGGGCACACGTCGTTGCCTTTTTGTCGTTTCTGCCTACGCTCCCACCGACTGCAGCTCAGATGAAATGAAAGATGAATTTTACAGAAAGCTATCTGAACTTCTTCAGAAAGCTAAACGTTCAGACATAGTACTCGTAGCAGGTGACTTTAATGCCCAGGTAGGTAGTTTAAGCCAAACAGAAAGACATTTAGGTGGGTATTTTAGTATTCCGGCACAACGAACAGATAATGGTGATCGTCTGCTGCAGCTGTGCTCAGACAATCGTTTATTTTTAGCAAACAAATTTTAAGCATAAGGAGAGACATCGTCTAACATGGCGACTCCCTACACCAAACCAACGATGGACTCAAATAGACCATATCGCCATCAGTAATCGTTGGGGAGGGTCGGTAGAAGATTGTCGCTCATTCTGGAGTACCTGTTTGGACCTCGACCATGCCCTAGTACGGGCACGCATCTGCTTGCGCCTTACTGGATGCAAAAAAGCCACATTAAAAAGACCCATTAGAACTGAGTTGAGTAACGAGAAAACCAAAAGTAAGTTCTAGGAACAACTGAGGTCACACTTAGGTAGTTTTCAAAACGAGGCTGACCCAGATGTTGCTTGGAAAGATATAAAAACAGCTGTGGAAACAGCAATGAAATCTATTAGTGACTTAACCCACAGAGTTACAAAGAACCAGTGGATTTCTTCAAAGTCTATCACACTGATGGATTCTCGCAAACTCGTCCCATCAGGTTCCAAACATGATGAAGAGCGACAACAAATCAGATCTAGGTTAAGAAAAAGTATAAGAAACGACCGTGAGCAGTGGTGGGCAACGAAAGCAAAAGAGATGGAAAAGGAGGCGGCTATAGGGAACACAAGACAGCTTTACAGACTAATAAAAGAAACTGGAATTAATAAGTCAAGTGTAAGTCAGACTATTTCGGAAAAAGACGACACCCTCATCTGCTCTCAGTCCAGACGTTTAGAACGATGGGCGGAACATTTTAGAGAACAGTGCAACTGGCCTTCAGCTACTCTACAACTACGCTCCATTCCCAGACAATGTGAATGGAACATTGAAGTAGGTCCCCCAACTCTTGCTGAAGTTGAGAAGGCTATAGTTAATCTGAAACGAGGAAGGGCAGATGGATTGGCTCCAGAAGTCTTTAAGGATGGTGATCCAAATTCAGCGATTAGGTTGACTAATATTTTAGCTAAGATCTGGGAGTTAGACGTTATTCCATCTGACTGGTTACAATCACTTATCGTCCCAATATATAAGAACGAGTCCAAATCATCCTGTGACAACCATAGAGGGATTAGTTTAACTAATATAGTATCTAAAATACTTGCCTCGATAATTATCGGACGCCTAACTAAGACTCGTGAACTGAAAACACGAGAGAATCAAGCTGGTTTCAGACCTGGTCGTGGCTACATCGACCACATATTCACCATTCATCAAGTTCTAGAACATAGGCATACTTATCGGCGTCCGATAATGGTGGTCTTTCTTGACTTAAAAGCAGCATTTGACTCGGTAGACCACGAGATTCTGTGGCAGTGTCTGTCATTGAAAGGCGTACCCCAGAAGTACATAAACCTTGTAAAGGCTCTTTACTCGAACACTACCAGTCGAGTCAGAGCTTATGGCGAACTGTCATCTACTTTTGCAACTTCAAGTGGTGTCCGTCAAGGCTGTCCACTATCTCCATTTTTGTTCAACTTCATCATAGACCTACTGATGGGAATAACATTCTCGTCGACTGAATTCTCGGGCATTGATCTCCTTCCAGGAGGTCCACTTATCGACTTAGAATACGCAGATGATATAGTCCTGTTTGGTGAAGACGCTGATAAAATGCAGTCTTTTGGTAGCACTAAGCTACAATGCCAGAATTTTTGAAATGTGCTTCTCTCCCTCCAAATGCAAGTTGCTGCCCCAGGACTGGTCTGCGTCAACACCTGAATTAAGGATAGGGAGTGAAGTAGTCGAACGCGTTGACAACTTCACTTATCTTGGAAGTCTGATCAGCCCTAATGAGTTGGTATCGGACGAAATCTCAGCAGGGATTCGAAATTCTCGTTTGGCTTTCGCCAACTTACGTCACCTATGGCGAAGGCGAGATATCCGTCTATCAATAAAAGGACGAGTATACTGCACGGCAGTCCGTTCTGTCTTACTTTACGGCAGCGAAATATGACCTTTAAGAGTAGAAGACACTCGTAAGCTACTAGTATTTGACCACAGATGCCTTAGAAATATTGCTGGCGTCTGTTGGGATCACCGGGTAAGTAATAATGAGGTTAAACACAGGGTATTATAGAATAATGGTAAATCAGTTGATGAGGTTGTGAATCTTCATCGACTGAGATGGTTGGGCCACGTGTTACGTATGCCTGAATACCGATTACCACGAAGTGCAATGCTAACCGATGTTGGAGATGGTTGGAAGAAAATTAGGGGCGGCCAAACCAAAACGTGTCATCAATGCTTGAAGTCACTAACTTGTAGTCTGAGCCATGTTGGCAGATGCAGACTACTTGGTTGGAGTCCGCGTGTCTATCGTAACCAATGGTTGGAGACTCTTGGTGACATGACTCAGTATCGTTCACAATGGCGTCGGTGTATACACTCCCTGTCTTCCCTTAAACTCAGAGATTAAACTCACTTCATATCCTTCTTTCTACTAACTAACTCTTTCTTCCTTTACTATATCCTTATTGCAATCTTTCTCTTATATATTACCACCTTTGACCTAACCACTCCTATGAATCCGGTGTTCATCTTGCTGTGCTAATGAGGTATGGCAACTTGGACCGATGCATGTATGTGCCTGGTCCTACGTTGTTGTATATATATATATATATATATATATATATATATATATATATATATATATATATATATATATATATATTACATGGAAAAATTCTGCGGTTTTTGTAGCTTATCCGCTAGTAGTGACTGAAAATGGATCAACTGATGCACTGAAATGTGATCCTATTTGAAACATAATTTGGCAAATTCTCAGTCATGATAATACTGTCTGTTCACAATTTCATTGTATTACTTGTGCGGCGTATATTTATTTTGGTTCTTATTAGTATTCATGTATTCTAAAATATATGTGTTTTATTAGGAATTTGATTTACTTTCTGGTACTTGGATCTTTTTGAAAGATTTCTTGTCACTTGTTTCAGTTGCTATAAACTTTCCAATGTCTGAGCATTGAAGTAAAATGGAAATACCTGTATCTGACTTCTGTTTTGGAATTACTTGTAAGGTTGAACAACCAATGGGGTTGGATGGTGTGATCTGCAAATCATCAAATGATTTAAACATTGGGCTTGGAAACTACATAAAAGGTAGGTGATTACCTTTATACTAGTGCAACGGATTTACCCATCAATACGTAATAAGAAACCTATACGTATACATAGAAAGTGTTTGAGAGAAATATACTGATGCTTGTTACGTAATCAGTCGTAATTTGTGTTACATGATCCGTCATCCGTAGGCTTTCTCAAAAGTCATGATGCACTTTTATGTCAGTCTGTTCATATCCGAAAGTCCATTAACTTATAAAAACTAACCCCAACGCTCACTGCTCAACCTCATTGTGCCAAATGAATGAGTCAAGGTTAGTAACAATGACTAACTTTTAACGTCAACAGCTTTATACAAGTTTGTTCAATTAGAAAAAAACTATCAAAGTATATAGCAACTCGTTGATAAGTACTTACGTCATTAAATTTAAAGGAGGCCTTAAAATCCATACACAGCTCGTCCTGCCTCCAAATGCCCTGGTACAACCGACAGTGGGGAGAGTCCGCTATACCTTTAGAAATTCTCATGTGGCCACGCGTATACAGCCACTACCACGGAAGTCCTACTCACTGCCTTCTCGTGGCATTACTGTTGTTTACGAAATTGAGAGGACCAAAAGCGAATGTCCGGCGCTTTAACCGGGTTGGTGGACATGGAGAGTCCATCTAGGGGAGTTGGAAAACCGTGATTCCAAACCAATGGTACACATGGGCTCCAGTACCCTGAAGGAATAAATGGCGTATGAACCAATCTTTGGTCACCGGCTACCATGGGAATGCGTCTCCTTACGTTTCTCCACTGCCTTGTGGGTCAGACCTTCAGGTCGAAGGCTCCGGGTGTGGTCTCCTAAGAAAACTACCTGCCTCGGTTTGGGCACCCGGGCAGTATCACAGCCCTCACACATATCAAATGAGATCTGTATGGCGCATATGTATTCGGTGCCTTCTTGTACCAATTTTTGTGTTAAAAAAATGAATAAATAAAATAGGTCGTTCTATTTAAAGCTAACTTGAAGTAGGCCCAGTCACGGATTTGAAAAGTAATTTTAAATGCTATGTATTTGGTCCATTAATCTATTTCTACCTTTCTCTTAATTTTAAATTTTTTGTTAAGTTTGTTTCTTAAGATATCTTAAGTTTTTTTCCATTAGTCATGTGAACAATTGAGGACATCGAACAGCAAATATCTTTCAGGCACCTTCATATGAATTCAATATCACAGTTGGTTTAGAATATTTTTGTCAAGTATGCTACGATAATACCTTAATACGACAATAAAACTAGTCACGTTATATTAGATCCAGTATTCGCGACCTAGAAGAGTGTCAGATTAACACTAGATAATACTTTATCCAAGGAGTCACTCTCAGTGGGTCCGGAGTAAATGTAAATGCATAGTAAATCCTAATATTAAGTGATTAAAGGGAATCGCTAAGGAACCTTAGGCTTGAGTCTCGTGCTATATGATGCTCCTTAGTCGCGACTAGAATGGCTCAGTAGTAATGGTTTCTGTCACTGTGACACTGATTGACCTGGACTGAAGTCCAACAGGAAACATCAGTCCCATCAAGAATGTGCAGGTAAATCTTACGGATGTCGAGTGGCAATTCACACAAGTGTTTGATTCATGGTTTTTTAACGACTTCGTGCAATCAACTAACGTCATAACATAATGAACTTGCAAGTCGTGGTTAAAGCTAGTAGGTACATTGTAAAGATGATCATTACTAACAGACTAGAAAAACATGTTATTGGCTACACACCGTTCAGTGACCGCTCATTATTAGTAATAAATCCATCTTCAAATTATAGATAACAGTTATGTTATTGACTATATTATCTATCGTTTGACTATATATTCTGCATTCTTATAGATATATTTGTTTTTAGCGGAAGAATGTAATTATGATAACATTATGGATGACAACCTAATAGATAATAAGTTGGGAATTTTACGAGATAATCATTCATTGTATTTGGAGGATAGTTTTAAACGTAAGTGTTATTACAGTTTATTACTTCCAATAATTTGTTGAATTATATATAAGCATATCAAGATACTTATACATGTTTTAGGGGTTTGAATAATTTAAGATTGTACACTGCTGCTCGATTGATTCTGAGTTCTGGATAGATGAAAAATTAGTTTAGAAACAACAATATTTGCAATTCAGCACAAAATACATCAAAAATGAGCGAAATCTATTTAGCCATTCAAAAGTTAATTAAGAAATATCTAAAAATTCTTATAGAAATTAACTGTGACAAAATCCTACGGAAATACCTGAGACCATGAATTTCGTGAAGACACTTTTGACCATAACTTTTAAACGACTGAAACAATTTCGCTCATTCCTTCCATTCTGTTCACTTTGGGAATATGGTGTAAAGCTGCACCGATCAATCAAATATAAATATAATACTTTACTGGTTTTTCTAATAATCCTCTGAAAAGATTCGATCTTAAAACTATTTTACTAAGGTATTTTAACTATTTACCTGTATCATTAAAGTATTATTCTAAATGTATTCAATGTTGGTCATTCAAAATCTTTGTTAAGTTATATCTAATGAAAAATGAATCTGTCAGTAGATTTATCTTGACTTTAATTTTTACAACAGTCTTAATGATCTGTATGTTGGATAAATATATTGACTGAACTGTATTTAAAAGCTTTCTACATCCTTTCTGTTGATAAATGTATATTAGTTTCATCATCTATGATTTTAATGATTCACATCATGGATAGATTTATTTCTGTTTACCTTTTTTTCTCAAATGAATTTTGCAAATCTGATTATTACGTTATTGAATTCCTTAGTAACATGAATATAATATTGTATGATCCACTTTTATAGATAAATATAACTCTAATGATGGTCACATTGTTAATGCTCATAACCGTATTAATGGTGGTACAACTGTTAAGCGACATCAAATTTCATCAGTACAAGATTCTGAAAAGGGTAGGTATATCTTGAAAGAAACACACTAACTAAATTGTAATTTGTTCATCCTTTGAAAATATTCCTCACATTGAATTTACAGTGTTCATTACTGAATAGAACTGTTAATGTGTGAATTGTTGATTACTGAATCTGATGTAATATATAACGTTTACAGAGTTCATTCTAGTTGTAAACTATGACAACTTATATGCTCATTAAGATACATATTTATTTTTGTGTGTATTTCATTAATCTCTCTAATACACGTCAAAAAATAGTTTAATAATTTACCTTGGTAGTAATCTTGACTGTAGAAGATTCTCTTTTTACTGTTCTTTCAAATCGCCCATTGTTCTTACAGTGGATTTCCTAAATTAATTCTTAATATTTATAGGAGTGAAACTGTCGTGTGGTTTTTGCAACAAGACGTTTTCAACAATTACTGGACGGGACCGTCACATTAAAAGCATTCACAAAAGTAGATAACACATTTCTTGTTATTTGTTTGCTTTTTACACTTAATAAGTTGTGATTGTTTTTTGTTTCAATGTTGCCACAGACTAAATGTTGTTGATTCATACTTCGTTCTTTCGAAGTCAGGTTTTGGGTTTTTTAAACCGAACCTTGCGATGATAGATGGTATCACACTAGATTGTATGCTTAGAATAAATTGCATCTGTTTCCACCTGTCTGTTTTCATTTAAATACTCATTTTTCCACAGTGTTCATTTTGTATTATTTTCACTAAATAAATACATTTTCCTTATAAAAAAACAGTTCATCTACATCATTATACCTCACTTCCATTCTTTTGAAGATGTAAACCAAATGCTATTAATTTTCTCTATAGTAAACAGTAAGATACAATATGTGTCTCAAAATGACATTAAATTTTTTTAAATAAAGAGTTGGCGGTAGTGAGTGTTGTATCTTGATTTCCTTCTTTTTCGGAAGGGGGTGATCGGGGTTCATAGTGATGGACACAAAAAATAATAAAAATTAAGCTATCACGATCTCAATGAAGTAAATAGGCATTAGTTCACTTTATATACTACAGTTGCTATTTTGTTTTCGGCATATTGCGACTTGGGGTACTTTCTACATAAAAAGTCGAATAATTAGAAATCTCAGTGATTTGATATTGATTGATTCTGTTTATCTGATCCACTGGTTGGGAAACGTCATTTAGCAACTGAATGAAAAACACGCACTCATTTTATCAAGTACTAATATCAGTAAATTTCGATGTATTAGATAAACAACCGACCTTTTTTGATGTTGCACAACTTATAGATGCACATGGATTTACAATAAAACGGACCGGTTTAAAAATCAATTAACAAATAGGGACCTGGTATCAGAAAATCAGTTTATTATGCAGTTTAATTCCTCTGTGATTGTAATTTAACCACCTAAATGTGTTCTTCAGACTATAAGCATATGGTTTGGATGCTTTTATGAGAAAACAGAAAGCGAACGTCCAATGTTCTAACCGGGTCTGTGGATACTGAGGGTCGACGTGGAGCAGTTGAAAAACTGATTTGAAAGGAATGCTGTACTATGAGCTTTGATTTCCTTAATAAATGTATGGTGTACAAATTGATTCTGGTCACTGATTACCCGGGGAACTGGATGTCTTAACGTGAATTAGATCTTTAAGTCATATGTCCCGATAGTAATCGACCTAAAAAATCACTTATTTTAGTTTTGCCGTCTAGATAGTATCCCAGTACACACACATGTGATTATAGATCTCTAATGTTGACTCAGTCATGATTTGTTTGTGAAATTTCATAAGTACATTTAATAATCTTAATTATTGTTTCTTTTCTCTTTAGGAATAAAATATTCATGTATTCAATGTGACAGAAAGTTTTCAAGTAAATTCCATTTAATTGAACACAAGAAAGTTATTCATGAAGGTGAGTTATTGTGGTAATTATATTTATTTTATTTTATTTGAATACATAAATATTGGTACAAGGAGGCACCAGATACATGTGCGCCACACAAGTCAAATGAGATTTGTGTGAGGGCTGTGATGCTGCCCGGGTGCCAAGACCGAAGTAGGTGGTTTTCTTAGGGAACCACACCCGGAGCCTTTAACATAAAGGTCTGATCCACAAGGCATTAGAGCATCGTGAGGAGATGCAGTCCGATGGTAGCCGGTGACGAACGATTGATTCATACGCCATTTGTTCCTTCGGGATCCTGCAGCCCATGTGTACCATTCGTTTAGAATCAGGGTTTCCCAACTCCCCTAGGTGGACTATCCATGTTGACCAACCCGGTTAAAGCGCTGGACATTCGCTTTTCGTCCTTTCAATTTCATAAACAACACCCCTTCGCGAGAAGGCAGTGAGTAGGACTTCCGTGGTAGTGGCTGTATACGCGTGGCCATATGAGAATGTCGAAAGGTAGAGCGGACTCTCCCCACTGTCGGTCGTACCAGGACATTTGGGGGCATTGTGGTAATTGTGATGTTGTGTGCAACATACCTTCTCAATAAGTCTGCAAATTTTTTTGACTATTTAGTCGCCGATGAATACCTCTTAACATCTTTTGATTTTTATCAAAATGGGTTTTGTGGATTTGCTCACTAGTGACTGACTTCAAGAGATACTTCTGGAGTTCTAGTGAGAAGCCGTTGCCAGTGGAGTTCAACCAGGTATGTTGTAAGATATCAGCTCACTGAAGACAATGGTGTAAGGTGGCGCAACTTCGTGGATTGGTTGAAGTTAGACATTAATACCGTTGGGTGCCGGCTCAGTGGTCTAATGGTTAAGTGCTCGCGCGCGAGGCCAGTAGATCATGGGTTCGAATCCCGCTGGGTGCGGGATCGTGGATGCGCGCTGCTGAGGAGTCCCGTACTAGGATGAAACGGCCGTCCAGTGCTTCCAGGTTTTCCATGGTGGTCTAGCTTCAATTGACTCATGATTTCAACCTGTGATCTTTTGATTTGTTCACATAATATGAGGTCCCGAAATTTTTTTATTTTTTACTGGTATTATTGTCTTAAATGATTAATTATATTTTGAGAAATCTTTGTGTTGTTGTTCTCATAGGTATTAATCTTTCATGTGATAAATGTGACAGGAACTTCACTACGAAATCCCAACTAACTAGACACATAAAAGCAATTCATCGAGGTATAGTCCTTTTTACAATTAAACAATTACATTTACGTGTATTTTGTGGATTTTAATATGCTTATACACCCTGTTCACTAATCCCATTTTTATTTCACTCTGTTTTTTCCTATTGACGTTTTCTTACTATAAGAAAAGTACGAGTAATTAAGTTTTCGAAAGGTATGAACTACATGATTATAAGATAATGGGAGATGAGCTTTTTGAATAAGGAGGGATTGTTTTGAAATTTGCTAGAATGTATTGATAAATCAAGGTATTCATATTTTTAATAGTATATTAACATTATTGGTTTGTGGCTAGTGATATTAGTCGATCGTATAAATTAAAGTATGTTGTTTCTTCTCTAGACAATTACAAGGTTCTATTTACCTCACGGTATACTATCGAGTTTTTGTTTTGAAATAGCTTGAGTTGTTGTGTAATAGACTAGGCCATCTTTAAATGCTTCAGGAAGCTCTAAAATAATTCAATTTGTTTATCCATCATTACCATTGTCTGTGTCTGAAGGCTTATGTTATAGTTCTATTTGAGAGTCCCAAAAGATTTCGTGTCAAAGTCTCCAGAGTCGCAAAACGGGGAAATGATATTTCCAATTAGAGTAAAGCAGAAGCTTAGAAACATCTAAGAAATGAAAAATCGTTTGTCTTGTTTTTAACTGGATATATACTTATGACGTTACTGTGGGAGTGTTTCAGAAATTTCTAAAGACCAAAGGTCACATACAACTCTAATTGTTCTCGATTTTCTGTACGTATAACAACCTTTAAGTCAAAGTGTTTTATTTCGCACCCGTTCTTTAGTTCCAGTTGATATATAGTAGTTTGGGGTTACAGGTGTTGTCTGAGAAGGCAGTAATAAGCTCTCCTTTGTTGCACTTACCAGGTTACAGTGTGGCTTATTACAGTCAAATCCGGTTTAAGTGTGCAAAACCACAGGACTTAAGGTTAAGTTTTTTATGTCATGTAACATTATAGTGTAGTAACCTGTTTCGTTGGAATATTTCACTGAAAACACGTCGTACAAGCTGATTGGTTTTCTTGAATTCATATGTGTACTTGCGTGACTTGATAATGTGATGTTGGTTTGTGATATAGAATGTGATTAGAGGTGCGTAGGGTATCTGTGTATTTATCTTTATCCAGTTTTCCCAGTCTATTACTCAGTCGTGTGTTTGTGTTTATCTCTCGGCAAATGGGAAACCTAATTTTTCATATACAACAATGATCAATATTTACTCGCTCAAACCTTTGTTCTTGTAAAATGGTTATGTTTATTTAAAGTATATGTGTTGTAAACCGTTACTATACAGAAAAAAATATATATCGAATTTGTATAGGTGCATTTAATAATAATTATTATTGTCTTGTTTTTCTTTAGGAATAAAATATCCATGTAGTCAATGTAACAAAAAACTTTCTACGAAATATGATTTATATGTACACAAAAAAGTTATTCATGAAGGTGAGTAACGTTCATGATAATATTGTTTTACTATAAAGTTGTACTGTATAAATGGATTAATTTAAACAAATTTGCTGTAACTCTTCGTCCTATTCCAACGGTAGAGTTAGACAAGACTGATCAATCTCACCATTCCTTGTCAACTTTCCTATCGATGATGGTCTAGAAACAGCTCTAATAGAATTAGGTGTCGGTGGTGTAGATCTGTTACTTAGAGAAAGACTTAGACTTTGGGTATAAGGATGACATCGTTTTGAGATGCGATAATACACAAACTATGCAGATCTCACCCAGTCAGTTAACAGTTAATGTCTACTAGTACGGCATGTATCTCGAACCCTACAAATCCAAACTGCTTCTACAAGACTGACATAGACACCTATGCTTGCACTCACTATTTCTAGTAACCCATTAGAAGTAATTTAGAAGCTTGTGTAGATATATGACTGCTGGTAATTACGTCGCAGTTGAGGTTAATCTCTTTAGCAGTACTCACTGTCACTCTTTTTTCTTAACAGCTCCAACTCTATTTGTAGGGCGCATTCTACTTTTTGTACTCGATTGTACCAGATTTGTGTGCCTGATTAGGTGAATAAAATTGAAGTAAAATGATACGATTAAAAATGAGTACTAAGATAAGAGGACGATATCAAGAAACCATCAATTAATCAGTGTCAGCAATTGTTACCTAGGTGTAATATTTTAACTAGTTATAGGGACGGATTGAAATTTCAATGGTTCTACACATGGTGCGTTCATTTTGAATTCCGTGGTTTTGTCGGTGGGTGGGGATGGTAAGTCACTTGATCCCATAGAAATGTTTTCATATTTATTTATTTGAACACAAATATTGGTACAAGAGGGCATCAAATATATATGCGCCACACAAAACAATGAGGATGGGAAGAGAAAAAGAAGGTAAGGGGCGTGAAAGAAAAAGAAAAAGAACAATGACGACCAGATTAGTGTAAGGTAGTGTAATAATAATAATGGAGTAAACGGAAAGATACAATCAGAAAAAATCTTTCAGTTAAGGAAGATACAACCGCTTTTTATGAAGAAAGTAAAAGAAGATTACAGCAGGATCGCCATTGGCTTCTATTCTGAGCCATATCTGACACCGTCTCTAGCCACTGTGTCGCACCATCTCTTGGACCCCAACCAGGGAGTCGTGAAGGACCAACACAAGCCAGCCCTTTGCAGCTTTCTTTCATTCCACGACACTATGTCATACACTGACCACCTCTCCGCTTTTTGCAACCAGTCCCAGAGTCGGCAAATAATGCACGACGTGGAATTCTCTAGGACGACATTCGTTGAACATGTCCAAGCCGCCGAAGTCGGTGTTTCAAGATGGTGACATCAATTGCATTATCGTCTCTGTGCCCGAACACACGATGCCGGACCTCTGCATTACTAACATGGTTTTGCCACTGGATGTCAGCAATCCTTCGGAGGCAACGATGATCGAACACAGAGCGTCGTCTAACGTCCTCGACTCGGAGAGGCCACGTTTCACAAGCATAGAGCAAAACTGCTCCCACCGACGCGTTGTAGAACCGACCTTTTACAGCCAGACTAACATCACGAAGGCGCCAAAGGTGGCCCAGATTGGCATAAGCCGCTCTGACTTTCACTATACGTGCATTGATCTCATCACTCACACCCCCACCAGCACTTATGCAGCTACCCAGATACACGAACTTCTCGACTGCTTCTATCTGCTCCCCATCCAGAGTGAGTATAGGATTAGGATCCTGCCAGTCTTGTAGAAGTACTTTGCACTTCGAAGGTGAAAAGCACATACCATACCTACGGACACTGATTGCCAACTGAATAAGTGCAGATTGCATGCCTTGGGCATTATCGCACAGTAAGACAATATCATCCAGTCGATTAGTGCTACCTCAGCTCTAGCGCTTAGTGCGACATTTTCGCCATCAAAACCAGACGAAAATGCAACATGGTCTCCGGATAAACTCACGTAAAACAAGCTTTTCGAAGTGACAGATGGAGAGCAAATTTGTAGTACTTCACCAGAGTCTTGAATACGGGTCTCGGATAGACAACAAACGTCGATATTAAGACTTTCTAAAGACACAGCCAGCCCTATCTGTTGTCCGACGTGCATAAGTGTTCGAACGTTGAAGGCAGCCAGTTTGAATGGTGCATATCGTTTCAGAAAAACTGCTTCAGTACTCATGTTCGGTGGTAACATACAATTTTCAACCGGACAGTGACTCGAGAACGTTTAGATACAGTCGAGCTGCTGTATAAGTCAAAAATTAAGGATACATAAGGTGGGAATAAAAGAGAGTGAATAAATGACGTAGTAAATAATAATAATAATAATAATAATAATAATAATAATAATAATAATAATAATAATAATAATGTGAATTGGTTGACTGTAAATTGAAGCGAGAATAAAAATTTTAATAAATATCACCATTTTCATTTTATTTGTGTGAGGGCTTTGATATTACTCATGCATCCACACCGAAGCAGGTGGTTTTCTTAGGGGACCACACCCCGAGCCTTTGACATAAGGTCTGACCCACATGGCAGTGGAGCATCGTGAGGAGATGCGGCCGATGGTAGCTGGTGACCATTGATTGGTTCATACGCCATTTGTTCTCTCAGGATACTGGAGCCCATGTGTACCATTTGTTCGGGATCCGGTTAGAGCGCCGGACATTCGCTTTTCGTCCTCTCAATTTCGTAAACAACAGTAATGCCACGAGAAGACAGTGAGTAAGACATCCCTGGCAGAGGCTGTCTACGCGTGGCGGTGTGAAAGCAGGGCCCACCCCACTCTCGACCTTACCAGGGCATTTGGGGGCAAATAATGATGGCTAGCAGTAGAATTCAGGACTCAAGTCTCGTCCTATTTTGGACTCGTCAGCTGGATGTACATGCATCCCAGATTTGGTGTTCACTCCGGAACTCGAACCCAGTACAGTTCGCTTCAAACGCCATCGCGTTATCCACTTAGCTACTTAGTCCTTATAGGCAAACAATGCAAATAAATGTTTTCATACAACCATCTGTTTGTATTCTCTATCAGGCATAGGACTGGTCACTGCAATCATGTGGTAGGGTATTTATACTGAAATGAGAGATCAAAAAGCGGAGGTTCGCGGCTTTAAACATATTTGTTCATATTGTTTTAAAATCTATGGTTGTCGTATCCCTAAACTTCGTAAACAATTCGTCCTGGTAACCGTTACTAGATAATGTCCCCAACGATGTATAAACCAGAAGACGAGTACGAAGTGTTGATCGCATTTTTTATTGCACAACGCACAGATCACTAAAATCACAGACACACGAAACAAGAATGAAAGGCTGATGCTGAAAAGTAAGCGAGTGCGCGAGTGAAAATGAATAGGATTAAAATGTGCATATATATACACAGGGAAATGAGTGAATTGTCGAATCGATTAAGCGACTAACATTAAAACTAGCAGAACGAATATGTGCGTAAGCGGTAGGCAATGCTTAAGCATATATATTCATGCAAGCGCAACAATAATAAAGGTACAATGGTATAGATAAGTTGTTATTGTACGAATGATTGTCCATTATAAATAAGTTAACAAAAGGGCTTAATCAAATTAAGTGTGAACAAACTCAATTGCACGTAAGTTGCTTTAAGTCTACTACACGAATGGTTGTTCATCCACTCATTATTTCTCTTTTGTATGTTTATATTATTTGTGTTGCAAATTGCTGATACAAATATTTAAACATTGGTGCTAAATATGTTTCGGTACATTTAGTGATATGATTAATTGTTTTTCTTTCATTAGGAATAAGACATCCTTGTAATCAATGTGATAGAAGGTTTGGATCTAAATCCAAATTAAATGATCATATGAAAGTTGCTCACCAAGGTAAGTTAGGTTATGATGATGATAGAGACGGTCTACTTTGAAATTGTGTGTACCTTCTAATAACATTATTGAATGTGAAGTTTTTATCTACATCATTTTTTATATATCTCTTCTACTACAAATGATTAAACAACTTTGATTGATATTATCGCACAGAAAGTTTTGCTTGAGTAGCTGTGGATGTAGGTATAACACTCAGGTTTCACCGATTAGTTCACACATTTAAGTTCCGCAACTCCTTAGATTTAGGCACTTAATAAGGGGCTAAAATTCATTTTATGACAAGATGCACATTAAATAAACATCTTACTGCTGTTCATCAAGGTATGATTGATTAAAATATCATTTAGTAGTTTCCCTGTAATGACTTTTTAAAATAAAAATTCAAATCTGATTTACATTATTCAACTGATTCAGATACACAGCAAAACACTGAATATTAAGTAGGATTTCCGATGGTTTTGAGGTCCCAATGCTCTTTTTTCATCAAATATGTCAACTGTTTTTTTTTCTGAGTCATATGATCGTTTCATTATCTGACTTGAAATTTGTTTTCAGTCAACTTTGGGCATATATAGTACTCAGAATATGTGAGATGATTTGGTTTCATTTGTTCTTGTTCCTACAGGTGTAACTTTTCCATGCGATGAATGTAGTAAAATATTCTCTTCGAATGGCGCTCTTTGCAGACATCTACAATCCGTTCATCAAGGTAATGATTTCTTTGACAGCATTTTTATTTGTAAGTTTTTTTCAGGTTTTAATGTGGTAATCTTACCCTGTTCATTAATTCTGTTTGTATTTTACTACATTTTTTCGACACTTTTACCATATGACCTAAGGATGTATTCAATAATACAATAAATCAACGTTATGACTTCGTTTACTATCAGTGACCGAAGTGTGTTCATGCTCCATTGATTGTTCGAAGATTCTAGTGTCGATTTGTGCCTCTGGTTCGAAATAATAGTGTATCTGTTGCCTCAGATAAAGTGTTTGTGTCTATCGGCTCGGTTTCATTGTTGGACATCCAGTGTCTTCCTCTAATAAAAGTACTACCAACGTATGAAGATCGTTTTTGCAGTTGTCGAGGTTGAGTCACTATTATTCAAGTTGCTTGGAGATAATAGGTGTTTAGATACCGGTTCTACTTTCACTTCAGTATCCTACCCACTGGTCTAATTTAAATAGAATAAATAATTTTTCTATTTGCTTGTCGTATGTTGTCTCATTCTTGTTATATACATCTTTGATTAGTGTAGCTCGAAACACGATTGGCGGGTAACTTCGGATATGTACTTCTAAAGGCAGAGCTCTGACTTGGTCGAAAATACGTTGTCTTATAAAATGTTTTGATAATGAACATCAATGCTAGTGCTCTCTTTCGTACTTACTCATAGTTCTCGGCATCTCTGATCTAAAGATCTGTACGGATTATAGCTTCACATAATCCTCCTGCTAGAATGTACGAAAAAACAGCACCCGAGCCATTGCTTAGTACCAGTCACATCAATTATTTCTTGTTTTGTGTTAAAATATGTCACTAATAATTTCGAACTGGTGGTTATTTCCTTGAGGTTATAATATTATAATAATATTATAATATTTTACCACAACATTAATCTTCAAGTACAGACGAATCCAGTGACAGACTTAACAAATCGAAAGATTGTAGAGCTTCCTGAAGTATTTAAAGATGGTGTCTGGTCTAATGCACAACAACTCAAATGACTGCAGAATTAAAACTGGATACCATATCAATTTTTTCTCCTGAAGAAAACAGTATCTTACGTCATGCTTTAAGTAACTGATGAACAAGTTAAATGACTAGAAAAAGGCCGAGTTATGTCACATCTGTTATATCCTCATTAATAAACCCCATTTGTGGTTATAAATAGGGAAATTGGTGGAAGTCGCATACATACTGATATTTAAACTAGACTGACTGCTGCAGCCGCGATCTCCTTACTATCAATGCACTCAACTAATTATTAAACGGAATCCAACTGCACCAGCATCTAACAAATTATGGACGCCATGATAATAATCGCTGTACATTCGGTCGTTCAGTTACAATAATACACTCTTTAAGCAAAGCATACAGTTATTATTTACTGTTATAACTTGTCATTTGAATGCTTATTGTCTTGGCTCTTTTAATGCTACTTTTTGTATCTGGTCGTCGCTGATTTTTGTGTCGGAAACGCTTATCACTTATAATCAGAACGAGGGACCTCTGCAATTCCCACAATGCAAACGTAAGAACACAAAGACTGGTATAAGTGGTGATTTATTAACCTAAAACACTATGACGACGACGACAACTCTAGTAGAAAATACACTCATTTATATATTGATTGTACACCCATTTTGATTAGTAATTGGAATGAAATCACATATATGAAAAATACTTAGAGTTATAACAAATCACAGACTGAGCATAGTTCCTGTCAATAGAATACAAGAATATCGCATATACAGAATAAAATATCATACCAGACAAAAAATATTTGCCGACTCTGGGACTGGTTGGAAAAAGCGGAGAGGTGGTCAGTGTATGACATGGTATCGGAGTCTAAAAGATAACCTGCAAAGGGCTGGCCTGTGTTGGTCCTTCACGTCTCCCTGGTTGGGGTCTGAGAGATGGTGCGACACAGTAGCTAGAGACGTTATCAGATATGGCTCAGAATAGAAACCAGTGGCGATCCTGCTGTAACCTTATCTTACTTTCTTCATAAAAAGTGGTTGTATCTTCTTTAACTGAAAGATTTCTGATTGTACGTCTCTGTTTCCCCCATTATTATTATTATTATTATTATTATTATTATTATTATTATTATTATTATTATTATTATTATTAAAAAACTACCTTATACTGTTCGTTATTGTTCTTTTTTTTACGCTATTTACCTTTTTTTCCTTCTTTTCCCATTCTCATTGTTTTGTGTGGCGCATATGTATTTGATGCCCTCTTGTACCAATATTTATGTGTTCAAATAAATAAATAAATAAACCCAACCCGTATTTGGCTTCTCATTATTGCAGTCGCATAAACGGGAATAGCTTAAGTAATATACGGAGTTAACTGGAAGATTTATGTTCAGCGCATCTTCGTACGATCGAACCGAAATCAGATACCGTGCCACAAAAGTGGTAAGCTCGACGTGATAGTAAGGCTTATTGATTCAACAAAAGAATGGCTGAAGTTCGGTTTGGTTTTTCATTGAGAAGGTGAAAAACGACGATTGCTGTGTACAAATGCGACGAATGAACATTAGTTGTATAACAAGAGCATAAGTTCCTACTTCCGTGGGTATGACTTCAAATTTATGTCTGATAGCGTTGCCAATGTTGATGTATTTCCGACTATTCTATTATAAACGTGCGGGAGATTCTCTCGACTAGAATAGCGATTCATGTACATGCGCGTGTCGTTAGACCTCCAATTAGTGGGTTTCAGGTTGTTCGATGTACGGGCAGCTAGTAAATACGTCAGTTATATATGACTTGTGATAGCCATATATTCCCAATAATGAACGGTAATGAATAAGCCATTGGCTCAACCACCATCTTTCGAGAAGACAAGAGTCAGTTTGCATTTTTCACTGTCTCAGTCGATGGTTGTTTTCTGAAAAATACCTAGATATTGTTATGGTGCTCTTAAAAATCCACTACTCAGTATTCGAATAATATACCGCCGGAGTTGATGGTACACACATTTTGAAAATTCAAACTAGCATTCGTTTTAAGAATGTTTTTCTGTTAATCCAGTTCCAAATTTTGATAAATGATGCATTTCTCATCTTGCCACTCCTTTGTGGATTAGATCGTCAGATCGTGGGCTTGGAGAAATATCTCTTATGAACACTACCTGATTCTGTTTAAGTGTCCGGTTAGTATATCAATGCTTCATAAAAATATGAAAATGAAGATGATAAAATTATTAATTATCAACATCACTAATTCTTTCCTGAAATGTTTATGTTCATTTGTGTGTGCTGTAAACCTCCTATTAGATTACCTTATTTACTGATTCTTTTTTATTTAAGTACATTTACGAATTTAAATAATTTTGTTTTCACTAGGAATAAAATATCCATGTAATCAGTGTGACAGATTATATACATCTAGATTTCATTTAAATGAACATTTGAGAGCTAATCATAAAAGTAAGTTATGTTAGTGTGATATTAGTGTTCTTCAATGAAATTGTATACTACATGTATTCCTATCAAATCATCATTGAGGATACACTTTTCATCCACGTCATTATTACTTGTTTCATTAACTTTCAATAATTTGATTACTCTAACCGACCTTACTTCCTTATGAGGGGTGTCTCAACATGTTAACCATTCTAATTGTCTATCCTCTGATGTGCTATGACACATATCGTTATTTATGTTATAATAGAATAGAAGTTCTCTGGGTATCATAGTAATCATGGCTTTTGTCAAACACTACCCTTGATCCAGTAATGTTTATTTATAGTCTTATTTAGTTTGAAATGTTACTTCATAATCATACAATTTTCTTATACCTAATGTGCTAGAACTTTGCTGGTCGTTGCGTTTCACAGAACATTCGGAAAACCATCACATTCCGTTATATCGTGAATTAAATGAAATAGATAATTTCTATTAGTATTGTATTCAGACTCACTTTTCTGGAAGTGTTGTTTGTCTCGAAAATTGAAAGCATTATATTCTATTTGTTTCAGGAGTTGTAGGTGTCCAAGTGTGCATATATAGGTCAACTTTCATTGTGTATGTCAAGAAATACTATTAATAAATATTTAACAGTCAGATTTAGTTGTTGGTTGCTTGTATCTTCCCATCGTTGTGTAGGACTGCAATTGATCAGTCTCTTGTTGGCATATGTGCATCCTGTGCAGGTTGCCTCGATATTGCCTTAAGTCACAAGCTTTATGAGCAATGATCGATGGTAGTTAGCAGTGGAATCCAGGACGCGCATTTCGTATGCCCAACCACCGACTGCCCCGACCTACGATGTTTTATAGTGAAGGAGTAGATTGGAATTAAGCTAGGGGCGGCCAGGCCAAAAAATGGCACAAATCCCTGATTATGATCCGCGAGACGATAGCCGCCGATCATTAGAGACCCTAGATGACATGGCTCGAAATCGTCTGCAATGGCGCAGGTGCATCCACTCTTTGTATCCTCCCAACTTCTGATTTGAATTCTTCGTGTCCCTTTTTTCCTTTTCCAAACTTATTTCACTAGATTATACTTCTTGAATAACATCTTCGAACCCTAATCTTTCTGATTACTGCTTATACTTTTACTATCTCTACCACTACGGGGTTTGAATCGACAATTGTGTCTCTGTGGTAATGTGGTATGGCAACTCGAACTAATGTGCGTACGTACGAAGTTCTACGTTGTCACTAACTGACTGATTTTGTCCTATTCCGGTCTTGTCAGCTGGATGTACCTGCATCCCAGAGTCATACAGTGATAATTTATTACCATCCACTAGTATATTTACAGATTTTGTTTAAAAAAATTGTTGTACTTTTTTTAATAACATAAGTTTTATTAATTCGTATGATTTTTTTAATTAGATGTAAAATTTACCTGCGATCTATGTAACAAAGAATTTGCTTTTAAAGTTGGCTTAGATGAACATAATAAGAATATTCATGAAGGTTAGTCTATTATTGTGCTTCAAATTTTTGTGTATGTATTTTGTTGAACTTATGATGATGATTCACGTATAATTTTTCTGTAGCTTCCTCATATGTAGATATGAATTTTCTGGTATGGAAACTGCTTGAGTCGGTTTAGTCACCTAGATAGAATCTCAGCCTACACAGAAATATTATGATGAATACTTAAAACATTGATTATGATTAAGAATATTCTTTTCAGGTCTTGAAGTTATAGAATTTTGAATAATATTTTGCTGTTTTATGTGAATAAACTGTTACTGAAATATATTTGTTGTGACTTTATGTCCGGCTTTTTATCACGTGACTTATCCACTAATCAAAATAAGACTTCTACAATCTTAGCACTGTGCCAAACCAATGACGTTGGACCAGTATGAGCAGCCTAGCGTCCTTACTGGTGCTATGTCCACCTAGCCCATCCACTTGAGTCCAGAATTCCAATACCAGCTTCCACTATGTGAATCATACATTTCAAACATAGTGTTTATATATGAAACAAATAGACGCAACGCTCCATAAAATAAGAAATAACATTTGTACATTTGTATTTTAATGAAAATTTCTAGTGTTGGTCTTCAGTGTTTTCTACAAGTAGAATGTGCGTTGTAGCTCTTATTATCCTGTTGGAGTACTTAAATTTCAATTGCTGTGATTGTTTTCACTCTTCATACCATAATTATAGTTCAAGGTCTTCTATGGGAATGATTGTTGTTTTTTTCTTGTGCTTTTCTCTTTTGAAATGGTTATGTATATCTAGGATGATTTGTATACTTCCAACCTTTAGTACATAACCACATTTATTCATTTTTAATTTGTTTCATAAACATTTATCAGTATTCATACTTGGTTTTTTCATTAGGAATAAAGTATCCATGTGATCAATGTAGTAAAGCGTTTTCGTCCAAATCTATGTTAAATATCCACGTGAAAGCTATTCATAGAGGTATGTTTCCGTTCTGAATGAGATGTTCTACTGTGAAACTGGTACGCCTCATACATTCTCATCAGAAAAATTATTTCGTGTATGCTTTTCATTTGAATTGTTTTAACATGTTTCTTCGATTTCTAATGTTTCAATCAGTTAATAGTCAGTTTTAATACTCTGCTTGGAATGTATTACTTATATACATGGGCTTTAGTTGTCACGCCCCATTTAGCATTGCACGACAAGACTATCTAGACCAATTTTAATGTAATGGTAGTAGTCAAAATGATAAATAATAGTTGAAAAGGTTTAGGTATGGAATAAAAAAGTATTTAAAGACTTCAGGACTTTAGAATCTAAGATTAAGGAGAAATGTAAAAACACTTGAGCCACTATGATCGATTCTAATCCATGTCTACGCAACCACTGGTTTCGGTAATCGTTCATACCACGAGCAAATAGTCTACATCTACGTACATGGCTGAACCCATTTGGTAATGACCTCATGGGCTGATTAGTTTACGTTTGTCATGCCATATCTTTCAGCCTACTTTTACACCGTGCAACATTGTCCATCGAAGTAGGGCTTTCGAGCATACATAATACATGTCTCAACCACCTGAGTTAATGGAAACTAATTACCCTGAATATTGATATCGAATTTGTATAAGTATATATTTTGTTAATTATTGTTTTTTTTCTCTCATTAGGAATAAAACTCACTTGTAAGCAATGTGATAGAAAGTTTAATTGTAAATCCAACCTAAACTTACATGTAAAGTCTGCTCATGAAGGTAATTTCTATTGGTTGGTTATAATTATATTCTATCATGAAATCGTATTTTACGCACAGTTTCATCAAATATTGATTATACACATCACATTGAAATCACTCTTCATGTTTCTTGGACTTTTAATTATTTAGCAACTCATATTGATAATATTCCACTGAAAACTCTGTTTCACGAAAGATAAATTGGTGTTATAGTAGGTTAAAAAACACGAATTTCAATTAATAAATCGTAGATCGTAATCCTCTCTCACCTTTCATTTGGTCACATATTGTGAAGCTTGCACTCTTAGGAATCACTTATTTTTTAGTTGGATTATCATTTTAAATAGTTAAACATATTTCACCAAATCTCAGCTTTTTTGGTTCTTATAGGCATATTTTTCCAATGTGATGAATGTGATAAGAAGTTCACTGCGAAATGTCCACTAAATAGACACATACAATCAATTCATCGAGGTATAGTCCTTTTTACAATTACACAATTACATTTACGTGTATTTTGTGGATTTTAATATACTTATACACCCTGTTCACTAATCCCATTTTTATTTCACTCTGTTTTTTCCTATTGACGTTTTCTTGCTATAAGAAAAGTACGAGTAATTAAGTTTTCGAAAGGTATGAACTACATGATTATAAGATAATGGGAGATGAGCTTGTTGAATAAGGAGGGATTGTTTTGAAATTTGTTAGAATGTATTGATAAATCAAGGTATTCATATTTTTAATAGTATATTAACATTATTGGTTTGTGGCTAGTGATATTAGTCGATCGTATAAATTGAAGTATATTGTTTCCTTTGTAAGGATTCTTAAAGTTTGTAATCCAAAGTGTCTAATCGATGATGGATTATAATGGTTTTATGATTCAGTTTACTATGGAAACGAGTGATTGAGTAAAGTCGTATTCCACTGATTCTTCTGTTGCTTTTTAATAATAGATCTAAGTTACTTTTTAATTACAAATGATTGAGGTTCCTTTAATGCGACAAGTTTCCATGGAGCAGTTCAGTAATGCGGTAGCTGACACACAACACTTCAATAATAGTCGGTAAAACCGAAGGAACGAAAGGATAAGATTAGATTCATGAAAGTTATATACATCAATCATGTTTCCAATTTACTTTTCAGATTAAGATTTATTTTTTTATTTTGAAGTGAAAAGTGATTATCCATAAATGGTGTTGTCACATGTCAGTTTGTTTGTTTATTTAACCTCTCATGGTATTGAATCTCAACTTGAATTCTGCACAACAAACCGATGGTTTGAAATATTGATTTCTAGTTGGTCCACTCCATATCATATGCGTTGAACAAAATGTGGTTCTTGGAACTGATTACGTAAACATTTACTTTTTCACTGAGTTACACTATTGATTTGCATAATATGGTTATGTCTTTGAAAATTAATGAAACATCTGTTATATTATGATAATCTGAGCACCGTACATTTTCCATCTGAACTGATGTGTTGGTCTGTTGACTAACCCTCTCAGGAAACTTTTGCATCATTATTTACTTTAATATGTCTATACTGCCTATGGTATTGTCTCATTAGATAAAAAGGCTTCCAAAAGCTAATATCTGAAAGTAATTATTAGTTACCCTCTTTATGTATCTTTTCATTTGGCTCTCTGATTGACGGAAACTAATTTATTTTAACCTATGTTTACCTCGCCTTGCTCGCTTCAATAGATGTATGCGTTGTAGAATTCGTAGTCGGTTATACACTTTACATGACAAACACACTATCTATTCATTATCTTATCGTTTGAGCGGAGTAAGACAGTGTTAAATATTATGATACAGTTTATCAGTCCCACAGAGAACAATTTAAACAAGTCCAACTAGCAGGCTTATATGATAAGGTTTGATCTAATATATCTAAACACATTTGACATCCTACCAATCTCAATCCTTAGTTATTTCATCTTAGATCCATTAGTCACTGATGTTGACTATGCAGCTGGCTTTCTATTGCTTATCTCATTTTTCTTATGTAACGGATGATCTCTTTCACATAGTCATTATGGTCTGATCTATATACGCAAGTTTATTTTACTATGATTCGTAATTGAAGTGAATTGATCTATTATCCTACCAGACTTCTTATTTCCTTTTAGGAGTGAGGTTTACTTGTGGACAATGTGACAAAAACTTTACAAAACAGAGTACATTAAATGATCATGTTAAAGTTGTCCATGAAGGTATGATTAAAGAAAATATCAAATATGATTTATTATTTTGACTATTTAAAAAATATTTTCAGTATGCAGATTAGTGGTGATTATAGTATTTTCACAATTGAATCCACAAGTCGATCTAAGCTAGACCATCATTAAAAACCTCAAAGTACTGGATGGCTGATCCGTCCTATTATGGAACTCCTCAACAGTGTACATTCATGATGCCACACGTTGGACTCGAACTCAGAACCTTCGCTTTAGCACTCAAACGCTTGACTTCTAGACTACTGAGAAAACGTAACCAGTGGAGACAGTTATCCACTTCAGACAATGGATGAAGGGTTGAGCAAAATTATGAATTTATTGGAATTAGACATTAACGCTGTTGGATGCTAGCTCAGGGTTCTAGAGGTTAGGCGTTTGCACTGGAGACTGAAGGTCCTGAGTGCGGGGTGGGTGCGCACTCCTGTAGACTCTCATACTAGAATGAAACGACCGTCCAGTGCTTCGGGGTTTTCAATGATGATCTAGCGTAGATCGATTCGTGAATTCAATTGTAAAAAATGTTTGTTTATACATATTGAATGATAAAATATTTTCACTATTAAACTAATTCAAATAGTAATTATCATGTAAAATTCATTTAAGATTCCACTATCTTTTTACATAGAATATGTTAACTGTTTATTTTATTTATTTCAACACATAGATATTCGTACAAAGAGGCACCAAATACATATGTGCCACACAAATCTCATTCGATATGTGTGAGGGCTGTGATACTGCCCGTGTGCCCAGACCGGAGCAAGTGGTTTTCTTAGGGGGCCACATCCCGAGCCTTTGAACTGAAGGTCTGATCCACAAGGCATTGGAGCATCGTAGGGAGATGCAGTCCCATGAAAGCCGGTGACCAACAATTGGTTCATACACCATTTGTTCCCGCAGGATACTGGAGCCCATGTGCACCATTGGTTTGGAATCCGGTTAAAGCGCCGGACATTCGCTTTTCGTCCTCTCATTTTCGTAAACAACAGTAATGCCACGAGAAGGCAGTGAGTAGGACTTCCCTGTCAGAGGCTATATACGCGTCGCCATGTGAGAGCATTTCGAGAGGGAGAGCGGACTCTCCCCACTCTCGGCCTTACCAGGGCATTTGGTCTTTCAATTAATGTACATATGAATATTTGAATGTTTCACTAAGAATTGTTTTGAGTCTACTTTTGGACGAATGACAACTGTTTGATTTATGAGGGTAAATACTGACCACGTCTGATTCAATACCCTTTAGTTTTTCATCAGTAAATTATTCCTTTTATTTTCCAGTTCAATAGATTGTTGTAAAGATTAATTAAATATAACAAAGACAGTTTTCTTCATTATTGTTATATCCCGATAAGAATACTGAATGGTAACTTTTGGGATCCATTTATGGACCAATACTATGCGTATATTTTTATCGTATGATTGTTAAATAACTAAACTATTCATATTCATTTCCCTCTTATTATGATCTTTACTTTGACTTATGAACTATTATTATACGATCTACCATTCTTGAATTATGCCCTGTCTATTAATCACTCACTACCTCCCACATTCACAGCCATATTTGGCTAAATCTTGTACAAATGTTATTTCCTATGTTATGGTACGATGTTGTCTGTCTGGTTGGCATTATAAATCCAGTATGTTTGAAATAAATGATTGATATTGCAGAGGCTGAGAATGGTGTTCTGGACTTAGCTGGCTGGACTAGACAGGAAGCAGGACCGATAAGTACTCTACACTGCTCGCACCGGTTTTAGGCGTCATTGACCTGATCGATAATTCACTGTTCTCTAATTGATGGTATTATCACGCTATACATTAAAAGGACATATAGGCCACAAGTTATAACAATTAAGAGTTGAAATCTTTTGAATAACTTTTGAAATAAAAAATTAAGGAGACATTAGATAATGGTTTTTCGCCGATTCGTCTGAGATTTAAATCATTGCTCTTGTATTGATGTTATCTGGTCGTTATAAAATTTAGGAGATTGTTTCTTCTATTGACAATTACATATTTTATTTTATAACCGGAAAGCATAATCCATAGCTCAATGTCGTTATTTCATCTACGATTAAATTAAGTGTCTGAAGTCGATCTATGTATGGCGATGTTGTAGTCAGGTGTTTTTCGTTTATCTTTCCATCTTATTTTATTAAATGTTAATGTTGGTTTCCTATTATATGATGAAAGGAATTCAGTAGATGCATTATTCCTATTTTTGTTATCATTATAATTACTAGCAGTATTACTATTATCATTACTGTTACTGCTAAAAGCATTACTTTTCTATCTGATTCGTGTTGATCTTTCAGTTTGTCGAACAATCTTCACATTCCTTATTTTAGGATTTAAATTTTCCTGTCAGTTTTGTGAGAAATCATTTTCAACAAAGAAGTATTTTAGAAAACACGTGAAAACTAAACATGAGAGTGAGCGTTATTTCCAGTTCATTTATATTTATTTAGTATTTATCAAGTAAACTGAAACGCACATAGTTCTGAATTATACAGACTTTCTATTTTGATTCAATTTCCAATGCATTGTAGCAAACATTTATTATCTTCACTGAGGATACGATGCCTCACTAGTCACAATTTCTTATTGGAAGTTTAGTAGAGCAATTACTCGCAAGGAATTTACAAGTATGCTCCAAATCAGTGACGTATTTGATGATTGTAGGGATTTATTTAACTTGATTTCCACAGTTTGTTTAGGAAACCGCCTCGAAATAAACTGTGGGCAATCCAGTTATAGCTCACCTTTTAACACTATGAATGAGAAAGACGATCGTACTTCAGTACTCTTTTTCTACTTTTTTTCGATTGAGGTCATAAACCGCTTGATATTAGACTACCGTTGGAAACCTGGAAGCACTGGACGGCCGTTTCGTCTTATTGTGGGACTTCTCAGCAGTATGCATCCAGGGTCCCGCTCGCGGGATTTGAACCTAGGGCCTTAAGTCTCGCGCCCGAACGCTTAACCTACTAGACCACTGAGCTGGCATCCAACAGTGTTAGTGTCTAACATCAACCAATCCACGAAATTGCGCGACCATCTCCTATTGTGCTGAGGTAGATACCTATCTCTACCTGACACGGATTAGCTCTACCGGTCACGGCTTCTCACTAGAACTCTGAGAATTTTCTCACGAAGCCAGTCACTAGTGAGCACATGTTAATTATCTAAATATTCATCTTTAATGTATTCTGTTTCACTATTGTTGAATTTTTAGACACAATAGTTGTCGTAGTCGGTGTATCCATTTGTTTCGTTGTTTTAGTATTTTAATTTCTGTGTTAATATGACTGTTATTTTAGTGTTTCAATGATAAGTCTTATATGTTTAATGGTTTTCTGGAGCATTAATTTGTCACTCGACCCACTGAATACATTTCGAAATCACTTTGACCGAAATACTGATTTGGACGAATAATTTTATGATTTATGGACGATTTTTAGATCCATCTTACTGAGGAAAATGTAAACGGAATATTTTTTTATGTACAACCTGTAGTGTTGGTGTCATTAAAACGTATGGTAGGAAATTATGTCAAAGCGTTGAATCACTGTGATATATATATATCTGCTTTTTAATTAGTATGCCCTACTTTAGTTACATAATGCATACTGATTATATAGGGAAATTCTTTGTGTGGAAATCTGCACTGAAATTAATCTTATTATTGATCGAGATTTATTTAATTGTATATTTAGGTTTGTGATAATCAAGTCTTTTTTTACCATATTCCAAATGTAATGATCAAAAATTACTACTGATATATGAAGCTTTGAATTTTACCAACTTCATTACTACTATTTGAAAGTGAGAATGAATTATTTGATCTAGAACAACAATGAAAGCTTCACAATTAGACTGTCAAGCTGAGAGGACGCAATACTACGAAAAGCATCTATTTGATGAGCTATAAATCATTTGAATCATTTTAAGTTTATTATCATTATTATCATCATCATTTATTGTTTGTTACCTTACTACTCTGAAATCAAATGCTGTTTAATAAACGAATTAGTTGTTTTAATAAATATATACTAAACTAACTGATATATTGGAATTGATAACATGCACATAGGATTTATCCCCAAATCTCCAATCAAATAGATATTTTGTTTAATATTTATTTTTTTATATATTTAACATCATTGTACAAATGAAGTCATTGTTTAAAACAATTAGATCTTTTAATAAATTTTAATTATGCGATGTGATCTGTTTAAAAAATATCTGCCGAGTCTTTATCGACGTTCAAATTTTCTGTTATACAAAACACTACCGGAGCTAATGTGGTGTCCGCTATCTGACTCCATGATGAATAATGTTCACTGAACGCCATAACAATCTAACGTTTCATTCTACACATTATACTAAGGTTAATCCCGTTCGGGCAGCAACGTTGCTATAAAACCAAACACGAAGTTGTGTGTGTGTATTTCAGTCAGACAGCAAAACCGAAAGCGCAGCATAGAAAGGTATTGTGCCAACTCCATTTAATTTAAATGTGATGCAAATTTATGAGCATGAAAGAAACATATATGCATATACTTAAGATTATACACGCATGATCATGGCCGCACGTATATATGACTAAATAAAAGGTTGTAATGATTTATCCGTCGAAAGAAGGGTTAATCGTATAGGCGTATGACAACGCTAGTCATTATAGTATTGACGTGAACGGCAGAAAACAGTCAAGGAGTTGTGTTTTTCCACGAATAGTAAGCTCTTCCAAAGGTGGGTGGAGAAATTGCGGCATCCCCAGTTAAATGGTTAAGAGCTAACGGATGACCTTGTTGTAGAATTACAATTTCATAAATAAAGTAGTTATTTAGCTCCTTATTTTGGGTATGGCGGACATGGCAACAACCATCTAATACTGTTCTGATCAACTAAATATTGGTCCAATAACATCAAATTACATTGCAGAGCTATCAGGAAGGGCTTAAATGAAATCTGTACAAGATAAACAGCATGATGATGTGTAGTACTTTGACCAGCCAACGCCGGGGCATCATAGTTCAGTTACTGACCTTTACCTTTGGATAAACCCTGTCGCCTCATCCTAGGTCTGTGCAATGGCTAAAGCTAATGGTCTCCTATCAATGTGATCTTCATGTATATTGATAGGGTAGTTAACGAATTGTCTCACGTAGAGTTTATGGAGAATCTCTTGATGAAGCGGAATTAAATTTTAAAAATGATGGCGAAATGGTTATGTAGAAAAATGATATGAGAAGTAAGATCAATAACATAAATCATAAGATGATGGGTTTGCGTGAGGTCTACGGGTGTTATATGTAAAACGATGAGTCCAGAAAATGTAACGTTAAGTGAATAGTCTGAACACACGTTTAAGTTATGAATTTACAGGACAAATCTATTGCAGACTGAATAAATAGGCAGCAGCGGACGGGATTGCACAAAAGGGTGAATAATAATGGCGTGTTTTGAGAGTGGTAACCAATGGAGCAAGTGCATCTATGCTAGGAAGTAAAGATTGTTTTGAGCAAACTGTCAGACAACGGGTTGGGAACAAGATAAAATGTGAATAAAGAGATGCGAAATCTAAATACTACCTAAAATAAGTTGTGGGTTGTCTACGTTAACCATCTAGCAAGTGTCAATACGACACTGCGATTAAAATGATGAAGGGCAAGAACTGATGAGCGTTATTGCTCGTCGTGTAGTTAGACGCTTCGATAGTTTTAACAGTCCTGAACTCAGGTTAAAACCTTGTGTGAATGCTTATGGTAGCCAACTCTGGTCTATAATTACAGGTTCGTTATCGTGGGCTAGCATTGATAAGAGTCAGAAAAATGAAGTACAATACGGATGGTTCAGAAGAAATGGCGATTTGACAGATAAAAATGTTGTTTCCCCAGTTTCTAAGGTAGATTCACTCACTTCAATAATGTAGACCCTAACCTAAAAGATAACTGTCTTTTAGTCCATAACTATGTAGTAGTAAAAAGTAGTCTTTAAAGAGGTCGGGCTAGAGATTAGCCAGCCTCATAAATGGCTGTCAGAAATCAAGCAGACGCATTTTAACAAACTTTAGAACGAAGGTCGGAGCGCTGTGTTATCTGAGTCATGACCCGAAGATCTGACATCTGGAACTACAGTTGGTTGAACTTAAAACAGGGGTAGATACCGTTATGTCACTGTTAAGGATATTGAGATGAGCATAAACTAAAATTACAGAATTCGGTGGGGATCCACTTGGGTTTTGAATGTTCATGGAAGGACTTAGTGTAAACATTGAGGACTGAGTTAATGATAAGACCTACCTCTACATGTACTTGTTACAACGTTGTGAAGTTATAGTAAGGATGATACAGAATATTGCATTCCATTTGAGAATAAGAACGTTACACTAGGGTAATCAGCGCTTTACTCAAGTAATTTGGTTGACTTGTTGACATTGCAGTGGCATTTCTAATGTAGTTGTTAAACGGTCTTTCTTTTCATCAGAGTGACGCAGCAGGTTTGCAGAAGCTCATATGAAAAAATTACCAACTATAAGACAGCTTTGTAACAAATGAAGGTAATTCAGACTTTAAATGTTCTAAAATTAAAGTAGTGGTGATGAGACTTTCACACAGGGTACATTTCAAATGGGCAGAAGCGGTAGACGACATTCTGAAAAAAAAGTTAGAGACCATATTTCGTTAATTGTTAGAGTTTCTGGAAAAGATTGCGTCACTTGCTACAAATACATATGGAGAGATCGCGCGCGGAATCTACAAGGCCCAGGCAATGCCACCGAATAGCCAACCAGCTTCTAGTCAACATATTTATATTCTCTGACAGCTAATAAATACTAACTGGAAAAGCGATTAAATTACCTATCTAAAAGATTATTGATAGGCGAACATCATCTCAAGCTGTAAATTATTATATTAGTTGATCATGAGTGTAAGGTGTATTTATCCCGATTGGTGCAAGCTGTCGAGAGAGAAAGGCATTTTGTTCCACATCATCCTGTGTTGAATCATAAAAAGCCAGGAAAAGTTCGAATAGTGTTCAGCTGTGCTGCCTAATCATGTATCTCTGAATGATTGAATACACTTAAGACCAGATTTAGTAGAAGTATTCCTTAGACTCAGAAAACTTAAGATTAGGCAATCAGCAGACAGAGAGGAAATGTCCTTTCAAGAACATTATTATTATTATTATCTGCCTGACGAGGATGAAGAAGGTTTTGACTTCTTGTGGTTCTCAGAAATAATCTTGACTCAATTCCTGATAACCATAGTTTGAAAGTACTTTTCCTTGTGGCTACGTATTGACTGTCTTGTGCCGTTTATGATTTTAGACGTACGACCATCGGTCACTATGATTTATTCGACAAGAATACGAGCTACTCTTCGACGAAAGTTCCACGTGTGCTATTGTCTTGTTTCTGTAGAAATAGTCTCTGAGGTCCACGAGCTAGCGGATAGTTTAAGTCGCCTTGTAGACCTCTGTGTTTTCCGAAAATATAGGTGTGTCAGTAATGAATTCGATTCTCTAAATGATGTCGCTGTGGAAGGCGAATCGGATAACTTCGTTTATATTTCGGGTCCAAAATAACGTATACATAGGACTTTAGGATCTAAATTTACAATAACTGAAAGGTAACGGCGACTCTGGCTTTGGTGCTGATCAGTCTGTACTTCCACCACATTTCCCATAGGTTAGCTGCCATGTGCAAGCATATTTGGAATGATAAGAGTGGAGGAAAAAGACACGAATATGTCATTGAACGTCTTCAAACAGGTGCTGTGCACTCAGAAGTAGCATTCAATCCTAACCGCAGTGATTTCATGGTGGATTTAATGGGTTTAATAGACAGAAGAGGAAATGGAAAAGCAAATCACAGTGATAGTAGGTTTAATTTAATCCGACAGAATTCTGAATTTCAAGATATACGAGTGAATGGGACACAAACACGTTTAATAATGTTGCTGCATCCAGAGGATTACGACAGCATTTAATCTATCCGTTCGGTAGGTATCGCGTCGTAATATATGAGAAACTGATACTTTCGGTTGGACATATGTTGGTAAGAAATTCTATAGAGTAGGTTTCGTGTCTAAATCGATAGTTTGTTTATCTCTTGAAATTTTTTATTGTTTCGATAACTTCTGCATCGATATTTTGATATTCGTCAATCTTGTTCAACTGAACCTTCAGTCTTTTAGTCTGATTAGGATATGTTTTTATGATTTCTAGATACACAGAGCATATCGTTTTGACTTACCGATGCCGTTTACTCTCCACATTTGTTTGCTAGGTATATTTTGAGTTGACACCTAAAAATGTAGGGATAAATGGCAAGTGTTTCTCTTGGAAGCCAGTACTTGGTGGATGTGTTAAGAGATTGTCCTGAATCCTGTAACTTTGTTTATGTATGCAAATGAACTCTGGAATATAGTTGAGTCCCAGGTGTTACTTCATGCTGATGATGTGAAAATTTGGCGAGAAATAACAGGGGACGTAGATGCATATGCAGTTCAGGAGGATTTAGATGCTACTGTTCTCTGGTCTGAGAGTTGGCCAGTGTTTTTCGACGCAGCCAAGTGTGCCTCAGTCAGTCAGCTACAACGTTGGACCAGGCATATGTGTGTGTCTGTATGAAAATGAGGGGATTGAAAGATAGATAAGTACAATATAGAAGAAGATTCGGTGCTCGTTATCGGTTCTTACAATGAATTCAGAGTAACAGTGAGTCATGATCATCAAACCACGTCCCACTAACGCGTGGTGATAGCTGAGTGGTTCACAATCGTATAGTTTTTATGAGGATATTTATCAAGTTGGATACTAATATGTTCAGAAAGTGTACACAACCTTCATGAGATCTACCTTTGAAAACTGCATTCAAGCTGTAAGCCTCTATTTCAACGGTGATGTGGATATTTCGAAAAGTGTATAGACAATAGATACTCGCGCTATCCCGAAACTCCGGGTTTATTATAGTCCGAGAGATTGAAGGAGTTGAACATCTTTACTCTTTCCTACCGCAGATTAAGAGGTGGTGTGATTTTGGTGTCCAGAATACTAAGAAAATGATTCTGTACTTGATATGTCATGTCTTTTTCTTTCTACCAAATCGGGACAACTTCAAGGGCATAGCAGGAGAGTACAAAAGACACCGACGAACAGACAACACGAGGCATACTAGTTTCCATTCTGGGCGATCAAATTCTTGAAAATTGTTACCC